AGCATTTTTTTTAGTGGCAACAAACCTCTTTTATTGATTCACCGTGTAGATTTGCACAATACAGGGGAACCTGAGCGAATTGGAAAGTAGAGCGGATGTAGTATTCCCCATATGTACGCATATTTAGTCGATTCATGTTGGGACCATAGCCGAATGGTTAGTTTAGCGAATGTAAGACTGGTCAGTTTTGACTCCTTTTAGTTTACTCTGTAATTGGAACTAGACTGATCAGAAAGTTGTTTTAACGATTTACATGTTCTGAATACATCGAAGGAAGCTACCGCTTCAGGTTTTACAGAAAATTCACATGGTTCAACGTCAGAACTTTCAGTGGATTTTTTCTAAACATTTTTTTGTTCATAATTCGCAGTAAATCTGATAAAACACTTTTGTCTTACCTTTCTGTAGACACTTTGCACGAGACATTTGAATGAAATGAAAAGCTGAGATAAGGTTTGCTGGAAACAGGTTTGACCAAAGGAATATAGTCAAAATGGGTATTCAGAAAGGTTTTTTGGGCGTTTAGCAATTGCTTGTTAAGTAAAAGGAATAAGGGTAAAAGTAATAATAGCAATAACAGTATTAGCAATAATAACAACGATAAGGATAATCAGTTGCAGTTTTGTGCATTTTTATCTTTAACTCAGCAAATAATACTTTTCCTTTTTTTTTTTTTCAAAATGGTTTGTTAGGGCTTATAAATGTGTTATGCAGTTTGTAGTTTTCTGAAAATAGCAGCTTAAAGTTATTTGAAACTGTTATAGCTTGAGTTTTTGAAAACCTAAGTGATTAAATATCTTTGAAAAAATAAATGAAGCTTTTTTTAATGGTATATTAAAAAATCACCAGTAGACAGTTATGAATACTCATAACTTTTATTTATTTCTTTATCATTTAAATGTTTCTATACTGCTTCCAACAGTGTAAAACATAAAAATAAAAGATTAATGCCAAAAATTCATGAAAAAAAAATCTATTGAATTTCTCAGCACTCGCAGAAAATATACTTAAAACTTTTTAACTTATGAACCGCGAAAAAATTTATATATATGTGCAGCGGAATTACAATACTAGTAATACATATACATTCGTTTTCAAGTCATTTGAAACATCCACTAGTTCATAGCACTAAAAATGCTAATTAAAGTGTGAAGGCAGCAGAAAAAAAATTTTTTCTTTAATAAAGTCTTTGTTTTAGCACTTTAAAACATTGTCTCTAATTAGTGTAACGTTCCGATTATTTCTTGAACATCCAGTACATATTACTGCCGCAGCAACCACCATAACCGCCATAACCACCATAACCGCCAAAACCAAAATAACCACCATACCCGTTAAAACCGCCATAACCACCGAAATTGCCGTAGCCACCACAACAACCGTAGTTGTAGGATGGATAGAAGAGCTAAAAAAGAAAAAAAGATTTGCTTTTACGCCTAACTGTACTCAATTTCTATAAATTAAGCTGCAAACTCACATAATATGATTCAGCAGTGGTAAAAAAACATAGCGCTGCCATCAGCGGTAACCTAAATTAACCAGTATTAGTGCTTTTGATGTTGCCTTTATTTATGAGGAAAAACTTAGTTCTAGATTGATTGTGGCAAAAAAAATTTGACGTCCAAACTTCAATAAATTTGGACAATTGAAAGTGACAAAGAAAAAGTGCAAATTCAAAACACGAAGATTAATTAGCAAAAACAGCTAACTTACAGTATCAGACGTTTCATGGTAGACTTTTTTATGCTCTATTAACGGCTACAAGTTCACTGTTTCAATGAAACTTTTCATTTAATATGCCTCGCTTATATAGTCAAAGCATAAGCTCGTTTCAGGCAACCATCAAGCTTCCAAAAAAACTAGTAAAAAAAATTAGCACAAACTCGGATTTTTTTTGTTTTGAAAAAAGGTCGTTTACTTTGTAAGTGTTTAATAAAAATCAGTTGTTTATAAGATAATCAATGTTTATTTTGTGCTAAAATAGAGAAGGTTAACTGCAATGTTATTCTGCAATTTATAAAAGAGTTCTAACACTTATTCTCAGACCGGAACGTAAGCTTGAACTCGTTGAACGTAAAAATGTGTTGCTATGTTTGAGAAATGACACATCAAATGCATATCACAATAAGCATAGTTTTAGCCATTTCAAAACTTACAAGCGGTTTAGCAAGTTTTATAGTGTAGTTTTTTTTATTTTTTGTCTATATGATTGCAGGGGATTTCTACATAATCATTTGTGTACAGATTTAAATAAAAAGTATAGTAAAAAACAAACGTTCAAAAATGTTTGTACAATTTGATGTTAGTAAAAAAATTTATTGAGTAGTATCCTATATATTTATTTACCTATGATATCAAACCAGTGTTGTTTTGGAAGACCAATTGATCTTTACGCATACGATCAACCAGTGAGACCATTGATTGGAAGAGACCAGTTTGTAAACTGTATGACTTCACTGAGTTCTTAAAACGTTTCAGTTAAACAGGAATTGAAAAGTTTGCAGTATTTGTTGATTATAATAAAGATTTAATTTATTTTCAATTTTTTCACGTTCAGTTATTTTAGCATACGTTATGCCGACAGGTTTCTTATTTATCAACCGGATT